GGGCGAGCGTGTTGAATAGCGATGGCATTGAAACGAGATTTCAAATTTTGAAATCTGAGAGAACGAATCTTGGCGTTGGTGTGTGCAACTGGCCGTATTTCCGACTGTTAGAGGTTGTGATTGCGCAATTTGAGTAGGATATTGTGAGCTAAATGCGTTAAGACTCGTATTTGCGTAGTCTGTTTGGGATTGTGCCAGATATAGTGTGCTACAGTAAATTCCTCTCCCGTATCAATACTGTTCCTCATCCTTTGGCCACCCACTCACGGCGCTCGGCAAAATGCAGTTTGGTTTTGCCCTACCTGACTAAATGTTTCAGCTCTTGGCCTAAAGCCTTGAGGATAAAATATCTCAATGTACATTCGGCGCTATCAGACTTAACTACAGAACTCAATTCGTTGAGGTTCACCTATCTTAGCTCATATACTGCGGGTCATGGGAAATTAATGCCACACAGTGGTGGGTCGGCTGACTAGTGTTCGCAGGTTCAATTTGAACGGATGGTGTATCGTGATGGAACGCGTCTCTTCTACTTATAATAAATCTGCTCCTCAGCGATTTCAGATAGCGCAGCCCTTGTAACACAGTTACTGTACAGTCTCTGCGCTCGAGCACGGATGCGCGCAATTGCGGCGGGGGTTTTTTTTGGTCGAAAAAAGATTCGCGCAAGCATACGCACGCCTACCGAGGTTGCGCGTGCCCAAGACTTGCGCGTACTGACCGCATGGTCTGCGGGTAAAAGAGTTTAGAGGTTCTTGAAATTAAAGTTTCTATGGTTGGTACAGCGGATGAAACGCGCCAGTACTCAGATCTAGTCATGCGTTCAGACTACATATCCTGGACCTTGAGAAAAACTGCTCCACACCGGATAATTCATTATAGTAAAACGAAAGATACGAAGAGGCTTCCTGGGGTGATTCTTCGATCACAACGCATTCTATTCTCCAATACATAAGGTATTCTTACACGTACTGTAAACTGCGAGCTGTGGACAAGAGAACACCTTCTTCGCTGTTCTGGCCCTGCTCTAGAATAAGTTTGCTAGATGGGCAAACTAGATTCCACTGACATATGGGTTGGCGAAGGGTGATTCATACGGTATCATTTGAAGTGCTAACTCCTTCATATATTACAGCACTTTGCAGGAGCATGACGAGGGCCGGGTCCTTAATGACGTCTGTATTTAGTGATACCCGTGTACAAGTTGAGGTCTCTGTGGCAATGGTCACACACGATGGGCAGGCAGGCGCCATATGCACCATTGCAGCAATGAGCAAGCTCTTAGCGCTCATACTTTTTCTCTTCGCTTTAAAGATAGTGCAGCCCGAGCATCTTAAATATTGAATATAAATAAAAATAAGTCAAATCGGTCGAGCTAGAATCAGGACAATATGATAGAAAAAAAATATATATTAGAAAGATAAAATTAAATGCAGAACTAACGAGTTGAGGAAGAAAGAGCGAATTTTTCTGCACACCTAGGGCAATGGGTAGAAATGAAAAAGATAGAGAAGAAAAAAAATGATAGGGGTTCCTTAACACCCCAACTGACACACATGTGCGAGTTGAGGGGGAAAAGGAGCAGGCCCACAACGTATCGTGCAGTAACGAAAAGAAGAAGATGATATATTATTAATATAGGTTTTATTCACTTTACCGCGCGTTGTGGAGATTCCCACCCGACTGGAGCGGGTGGTGGCGACAGTGGCTCCAGGCAGATTCACGTGTCATAAAGAGAGGGGCGAGGTGCGAAGCCTCGCCATTTTATAGCCTCTGGAACGACTGGCGTCCGGCAAGTGACAGTCTGGGGTCATGCGCACAGAAGCAGCGTGTCGCGAACGGGCCCGGAAAAGTCATATAACGCGACTATCGCGGAGATTGAACATTCCGTTTCCGGGGGGCTAAACGGAGTGCGACGGCAGCGCGGCGCGGCGGCGGCAGGCGGCGACAGCATCGAGAAGGCGGAACGGCGGCGGGGGCGGCGGGGGCAGGCCGTCAGAGCCGCGCGCGCGGCGACAGGCGACGAGGTAATTGCGCGTGACGCTGCCTCGCCGCTGCCTTCCAACCCCGAGATGGAGGTTTTTATAACGAATTCCAAAACGTCTGATCGGCGCCGCTTAGGAAATACGGATATAGAGATGCCTCTCGTCGGTCAATAGGACAGAAGCGGCAGCTGAACGATGCGCGACGCAACGTTTATACTTGAGTAAAAAAATAGGCATTTAAAGACCATTTTGTAAATGTAATTGGTACTTTAGAGTAATTGGGAATGTATTGATACTTTAATCGTTTTGTAATGCTACGTGCCCCTGAATCCACGAACGAATTTCGTCCTTTGAACACACTGTCTTCTTGACTTGGAATGAATCTATAAAGTATTTTAAAGAAGTAGGTCAACTGTCTCCTATCAAAATTTCTTAAGTATTAAAGATGTTAAAAAATGTGTTAGCTTAAAATTTTTAAAAAATGACGTAGATTTAAAAAGAATATCCCTTTCTATGTGATGCTAACCCTAATGATGGTAGTGTTTTGAATCCACAGGGCAAAATGACAGGACAATAACAGCAACAACAAAGCGCTTGGTTGGGAGAAAGGTCTCCCATGGCCTTAAAAGGATAGGGCACTGATTACAACATAGTACACGGTGCAGCAAAATAGTTTCGCAACTCCTGCATGCACAGCTGCGACCATAGTGCCAGCGCAGCGCGGCGACAGCGGAGGGCAGTGTGCTTCGGTGGCGGGCGAGGCAGGAGGCGGGGCGCGGCGTGGCGGGGCGGGGCAACCGGCTCCTCGCGGCGGGTGGGCGGCGCCGCGGTCGCCATGTTCCGTCTCCAGCCGACGCCGAGGGGGACGCGGCCGTTCCCTCGGGAACCGCAGATAGCGTTGCCCCCAACACCCTCCCGCCCCCTCCCGACATCCTGCGCTGCCTCGCCTTGCGCTTCCTTCGAAGGGTGAGACTTCAGTAGTCTGGCCGCCCGCCGCCTTCCTCGGTCACTTCAGACGGCGATTCTCCTCCACCGCAACGTAAGTCCTTCGCGGTGTGCCAGCCATCTTCCGTCGGTTGCGCTGATATTCGAGCTCCGTTCGCTCCGAGTAGTTTGTGGTGGACAAAGTGAGTTCGCAGCAGGTTTCTCGGGGTTCTCCAGTTTCTCCTGTCTCTCACTCCATCTCCATCCTCATGCTGATGACTCACCCCGTCATTCCTATCGTCATCTACATTAACCAAACCTTTACAAACCGAATGCGATGTTGAAATTACTCTGTCTTCGTATCTACAACTTCTGTACGGTCGTCCCCCGAAACTCACGTCAAACTATATATGTAAACTATTATACGAAAGATTAGACGATATTCTGGCAGGGTAGACCAATTTTTGCCGTGTCCTCGGAGGACCGGATGTGTCACTCACCAGTTACCAGACTCAAATTACTCAAGTTACCTGACTTATTGTGGTCACATTGCCCTTTTATGGTCACATCTCACAGAAGACCTATTCCAGCTGATGCGATTCCGACGATGTGATCGTAATAGATTCGTTCTATAAAGATCAATATAGAATGCCTTTCTAATTTTCTAAATTCCTCTTCGACATTTGTATTGCTTTTTAATAAATTATCAGGAGTTTTATAAACTAACAATCCATTTCTAATTCAGTCACATTCATTCATACACAATTTTGCCATGTAACCTCGCATTACATTTTTTGTTTCCGTTTTACTCTGCTTCCTGAATTTAGATTCAGGTTCGACAGTTTGCTTAGGAGACATTATCTTTTTAGCCCGTACACAACTGTCGCTCCCACTGGACAACAATAGGAAGGAGGGCAACCCTGTAATACAATATCATTGTGCGACAAAGGCCTGCTATTGTGAAGACAGATACTCTGATATGTTCGGAGCGTTCATTTCATTCGCGCCGCGGAATAACGATGAAATAATGTTTGATTAACATTCTTATATTCTTTGATGTAAGTGCTATTGTTAAGGCAAAGTAATCTTCGGGTATAACATCTCATCTGTCACTCTTATTACCATTGTTTGTCTATATTGCGTTGTGTCTTTGTACATCAGTACAAGGTGAGTGATGTTGCAAACAAACCCGGCTAACATGTCTGCATCAATCACATTTCCATACACTTTTTTAATGCTCATGCTTCTAACGCAGGAACAATAAAATAAGAAACGGTATTATCTCTGCAGATATTATTTACATGAACAAATTCATATTGCGTACCTCTTTGAGTTGCGTCTGAAGTGCATCGACCTTCGATCGGGAACCTTTGATCTAAGCGCGTTTGACTCTCATTTCCTGTTAGATACGAGTATTTAATCGCACTTACTGTTAGATACTACAATTGGACAAGTACTGTGTCCGTTTCTGAATAAGGTTTAGAGTAGACAACATGAACCCATTTTAATTTTCAAAGCGCAAATGGTCAGCCAGAACGTTCCAGAGCCACAGTTGCCCCCCAGTCCCCCCCCCCAGTGCCCTCCTCTCCCCTTACACACACACGCACTTTCATGTTCTACACTACCACACGTGTCGGCAGACAAGTCAGGTGCTTAGAATTTGTTTCGGATGAGGCGTTGCCCCGCTGGGGGACATACCTTGAGTGGACAATCCTAGCAAACCAAAGTGTAGGTCGGCGCCGAATCTCACGTTCTAGCGCGTGAGGAACATCGCCACCTCCTGAGACATGACATGCACCCCGCTTACGGGACTAATAACCGTAGCCGGTGGCGAGCTCAGGCACATGACATAATCAATCAATTCATTGAAACGTAAAATCCACTACCATTAATTTCAAATAATTGAATATTTTCAGGCCGACAATCTGAATTTATCATTCTCAAATTTACAAAAGAGTACGCTCGGCCTCTCGGCAAAGTTTGATGTCGCATGAGGACGCATGTCAGCTGCTTTGTTGCCGCGGCGCGATAGCATTTGCGGGCCCGAGGCGCCGCGCACACCGGACGCTTGTCAGCTGGCCGATCACTTACGTCACACTGCGCCGCCGTCCGCAACGCCGCGGCTGCATCCGCGGTGCCGGCCCCGAGCTGCACTCCCTGGGGCGCAGAAACGTACAATAGTGGTAGACTAAAAGAGAATTCCATTTAGAATGCTCGCGGTGGTCTTTTAGATATTTGAAACGAATAAAAACAATACATTATTTTAAACAAATAAAAACGTTATTGTATGTGGCTGTAAGTATTCAACATTCGAGTCGAATTTCACGATTTGATGTCACACGTGAAATTCAAACTCTCTCGTCAGTAGTACGAAAACAATTTCGTTCACTTATTAATGAATTCACAATTTTTTGACTATTAAGACATTGCATGTATAAATAGTATTAATATACTCGAATGCCGGTTGAGGCCGCAATGCATCATAAGAGTAGCAGAAATCAGGTGCACAAGGCAATTTGGTTTAACTATTCCACGATTTTAATCACCTGGCTAGAAAGGGGCGAAGGCGATACTTTAGGTGAAATACCTATTGCACAAATGTCATTTCTAAGCCCCCTCCCGTGTTCTCAGAAACGTTCCTACTGCCCCAACCATTGCTTCCGCAACGGGCAACTGTATTGCACAATTTCTCTTTCCGGAAATCGAACCAAGGGCTTTGTACACGGAAACAGCGTACAGTTTTAAAAATTTAGAACAGTGGTCTAGCCTGCTGGTGGCCGAACAGCGTTCCCGCGGGAATCGCTGCCAAACGGCAAAGTAACGTTCGCCGCAACGGAGAGCGCTGTGGACCGAGCTCGGCGCCTCGCCCCCGCCCCGCCGGTGCCGTCCGCGCCGTCCAGTCGGTATCCTGCCCACCCGCCCGCCCTCCATTGAGTCATGCGTGACGCGGTGACCGCAAATGAACAAGGGACGAGAGGCAGGCCCTATCGCACGCCCACTCTTTGAAAAATGCCTCCATTCACAGTTCCATTACTCGGGACTTGATGAAGAGGAGCTGCATCCAAATGGCTGGTAGGGGGCCATCAGTGCTCGGACAGGCGAGACACGAGTCGGGTGAAAAGGCAGTGTGGGACTGCAATTCAAACATAGTAACGCAGACTGATTCAGAACACTTTACCACACGTGTAACACCAATCTTCAAGAAAGGAAATTCGCTGTATTTATTAAACCAGGACCATGTTGCAGTCTTCGAAACGAACGAAAAATACTACAAGAACAAAAAAGTAAATCCTTGTGTTTGGTTCGTTTCTGTAAATACATTGCATGTTTAATTTCGTATAAGCTTGCAAATAAATACATTTACGCTTATAATGAATTCGGCATTCAAATTAGATGTGTTCATGTTTTAAACACCCACAAAAATAGAAATACATGATTGGTTAGTTTTGGAGTTTTGAAGACATCACGAAACATATTCATCTCTGTTTACATTTCATGTCAATTCAATGTAAATTCAACACTGTTTTCATTTTGCCACAATAAAATATTAAAATACTACTTTCCTTTTATTACATCTTCACAATATCGTTCTTTTAATTTTGTAACGATTTTCAAAAAGTCAAAATTAAATTTGTATTTTTCAAATGAACATGACTAAAAGTGTTCCTTATATGAATGAAGTTGTAATAATTTTCCCTCACCGAAGGATATCTATTCCAACCCATACTATTTTTAGAATCATGAAACAAATTTTAACAGATTTTATACTGAACCGTAGGCATTTTCATAGAAACTATAATACAGTAAATCCTCGTTAACAGGATTTGGAAATGTTTGCCGATGATATATCATTTATAATTATATAACATTGCCAAATCGTTTTAACGACGGTATAACAAACCCTCATTCGCATTACGAAGAATTTCGTGTTAAGTAGGTTTGTGCTAACGAGTATTTACTGTAATGGAAATTACAGGAATTAACCATGAGCTTCCATTGTTAATGGTGCATCATTAAAGTATATTTTTTATTCCTTCATTTCAAGGACTAGTTATTGCAACTTTTTAACTTGTATTTGTAAGTGGATTGGATGTAGATCTCGGAGATTATTTGACATCGAACGTATGATCCTTTTTATAGTGAAGAGTTACATTTTATCAAAATATGGGAATATAAATTTTATGAAACAATGTCTTTCTTTACTTCACCGTTTTTACATAAAAACGATACAGATCCCTCAATTTGAAAAGAAAATTATAGCATTGATCCCATGAACATTAAGGACCTGCGAAGGTGACGAATGTATTTTTAAGTGAGAAGTATAATATTTGTCTTCCCTTAAAAGCTCTAACACAGTCATCCTTCTGCATTCCAAGAATACCGCATTTAAAATGAAGGATTAAGATGAAACTGCATAAATAAGCACATTTCTACACTGGTTGCCACGAAGGGTTGTTGTAGGAAAGAGACTCGAATACAGGTGGAAAATGATAAAACGTTTAATTACCGCTTGTAATGTAAAATTTTTCTTTAAAATAGATTATGTTAATGGTACAAATAACATAATATTTATATATAACAAGTTATTTAAGTATAGTTGTGTTTACGATAGAGAACGGTTAAGTCGAAGCGCGATATTGCGAGATATACATTTTTCCCGAGTGAATAAAGCCCTCTTAAATACCATATCTTAAACAATAATGTTTTCAAACAATTGCGACTGAGCTTTCAAGCAGTTTTGGAGGAACAATTGAAAACGTGCTTCATTAAAGAAACTTTATTTCACATCTGCGCTGCAACGCCATGAAGATACACTGTGTACTGAAATGCTTCAAGGCGAGAAAGATATTTCAAAAAATTGGAAGTGATATGTCTTACGCCCATAAGGAGGTTCCTTAACTTAGCTTGGGGCCCCCACATTGGCTTTACTGACAACCGCGATTTGCGTCTACGATTTCATTACGTACGGGAAGAGTTCACTACGTTCATTCAGAAAACGAGAAAAGTGCGACAATCTGCCTGAGAATACTCACTTGGTTTTCTCGTCAATATTCTGTTGATATATATATATATATATATATATATATATATATATATATATATATATATATATATATATATATATATATATATATATATAATGAATAAAAATACACTTGTGTTTCTTATCTACGTTCTGCAAAAATATTCTCTTAATATTTTCCTTTTTCCTTAAAGAGACAGTTTTGCACGGCGTAGCGTAAAATATTATGAGGCAATATTATGATTGTATGAAGTCTAAAATACGTTTTGCCTAACGTTTCAATCTAAGGATGGAAGTACTGTATTTGTACTGTATTTTCCGAACTGTGACGGCTGACTGCGCTGCTAACGGCCACATTCTCTTGCTTCGCGTTTGTTCGACTACAGCTGTTTATCCACAATTTGTTGCAACATATCAATATACAACCCAATGAGGCGACAGTGTGTGCTGCTGTCGCCACATTTCCAATTATCTTCATCCCGTGACTTGAATCGTGCACGAGACATAGTGGGTTCGTATCGTATATGATACGGTGCATCACGCTGCGTGTAGCCTCTTCGCTCGCCGCCGCGCCGCCCAGGGTCGGCCAAGGAGCCGAGACGCGCGGCCGAAGGAGCCGCGGAGTAGCGGCGTGTGACGGGGGCATGGGAAAAAGCCTTCACTGAGCGCTGCTTCCGATTCAGTTCGTGCCATTGAAGGCCGCCGCACGCGAGTCCAAGACGTAATGGCAAACCCTCTGAGGTACAGAAGAGAATGGGTATTGCAACCAAATCGGAAAACGAGATTTTTAATAAAAAACAGAAATACATTGACAAATCAGATTGCGTTTTTTAAACGCAATTCTGGAAAACCGATTAGGAGATACATCGATCTGAGCCAAGTATCAACATCACAAAGAGATACCAAGAACTTACAGGCAGCAAACGATACTACGCAAAAGGTTTCAGATCGTAGCATGAAATTTCCATCAATGAACTGACGAGTATTTGAATTATTGAACCGTTGATTGATTGACCTTTCCTGGGACGTCAACTGCTACAATCATTACACTCGTTAGTATAGTAAATGTTTTATTGCGGGAGGTGGAGGTCTTTCTCTTCCGCTGGATGGTGATAAGATAAAACAAGGAAGAGGAAGAGGAAGGAAAGGTCAGGCGCGGTCTGTGAATGTCTGTTACGATACTACTCCGGCATTTGTCTAGTATTGATTGGAGAAATTATGGAAAATGATCAGAGACACGAACCACGGTCAGATCAGCCGACCGCTGGAATTCCCCTGGGAGCGAGGTAAAATGGAAAACCCACTGCCGACAGGACTCGAACCTTAGGGCTTGGCCAGATCCGCCGCAGAATGCTGGATCAAAGCTAAACTCAACCGATAATTACTGGACGGGTAATACCGAAGTATCAACTACAGATTATTTGCTTTCTATGTATCAGGTTATATCAAACGTTTTATGTTACACATTGCACATCACGCAGAAACAATTTGGTCCTCTCTCCCCTTGCAGTACATGCCTCCCACGTTTCTCAATTTGTGGGTATATGAAGGAACTTTCATTTTTACTTGCTACAATATTCTCTTACTATACCTTCTCTAAACCCCCCTTCTTTCCCACCATCCATCTTGATAGAGAATTTTTTTTTTTTAATTTTATTATTTTACATAGACAAATTTTAAAATACATGAACACACTAATAAGTGCAAAATTCCGGGTACCCTAATTTTTTAAATTTTAAAACGTTTGCAAAATAATGTATAGGAACATTGATAATACAAAAGAATCACAATGACCTTCAAATTAAATGCACATATTGACTTCATGTCGTGGAAACTGCACTAACTTTCTATGCAAAAATATTAAGTATGTTTTGTCGTCACACTTACTACGAATATATAAAATCCTCATGCATACGGTACGGAACTCAAAACCTGTTTACATCGCTTCTGGAGAACTAATTGAACCCCCACAGGCAAAATACCAGAGAGCAATGCGGCGGAATCGAACTGTACCTGTCCAACGGCGTAACGGCTTGGGCACTCCGGTACATCCTTTCACAGACGAGGCGCAAACGGCGCCCCGCCCACCCTGATACTCCTCCACCGCCTGCGCGTCCTCGCCCTCGACCTCGTC